ACATTAACTCTAGAAAAAATCCTTAAAAGTAATATTAAACGGCTTAATTTTTTTTGTGTTTTTTCTCCAAAAAGTGAGCCCCATAAATTTTATTTTTTTTAAAAGTTGGCGCATATATCGTACAACAGTAGAGATACATTTCCCAATATTAAAATATAGATTTGATGTTTATCATTTTAAATGACATAAGTTATGTCATTTTAGAAGAAAGATAAACATAAAGAATGAAAATCATGGGAGAGAAAGTGAATGATTTTTTTTAATTTAAATTTTAAATAAAAATATTATTTTATGTCTATTTCTTTTAAAATGACACCACTTTATATCATTTAAAATAATAAATATTTTTCATTTGTTTACCTCATAAAATGACCCAAGTTTCCGCAGAGATATCATCCCTGAGAGAAACGAGAACCGTTCAAGGTTTGTCACTATTCATCTTAAATAATTAAGAAAATATAATATAAAAGTAATATTATTATTGAATTTTATATAGATGAATACTTTTTAACCATTTATTACCTTATACGTAACAACAAGTCTTAAATGTTGTAAACTCCTTGCTCAATTCAATTAAAATTTTAAGACTGCAGGCCAAACATTACTTAAACTTTGACATTTGTTAGCAATTTTTAAAGGGTTATGATGCTTGCAGTCTTTCACAGAAAATGCAAATTATAGAACTCAGAAATATCCAATCCTAAGTCCAAACAATTCATTTTTCTTTTTCTTTTTTATTTCTTTTTTCTCACACTCATGAATGACTCCCACTCATTTTTCTGTGCAAAAATGTGAACTGCGAAAGTACCATTTTTGTTTTTTGTTTGTTTTTTGTATTACCCATTTTTGTTATTTTAATCTTAATAGAGTTAGATAAATACTCATATTGATCATATTAAACCAGGGGGCAATTTATTCCATCTTCAAAGCACTTGAGTAGAGGTTCTATATTGCGCGGGGCGTTTGGTCGGAGGTATCTTATCAGATAGATAGGATTCTGATAAGTGGGAAAGATGAATCACCATGTTTGGTTGAAGATTTTCAAAAATTTCTCCAGCGAAATCAGTTCCCCATCCATCAAGTTTGCATGTCAATTTGGCTTAAATGCAAGGCAACCGATTCCCATATGAGATGTGGTATTTGAGGATATCTACCTAAATGAAGAAATGAATGATTAACCACATGACCACCATACCCTCAACTTGGAGCCCAAATCACATCTGAAGGAAGGTGACAGCTGTACATACACGACCACTCTCCGCACCGGCACCGGATACCAGCAACTGAACGACGTTGTCACACCACCACCAGCAACCAAAACAGAACCAAACACTGAAACAGAGCACAATAGGCAAAGACAAACCAATAACCACCCACCCAGATCAAAACAGTAACAGATTGAAGGAGAAAGAGTTCAGCCACAACCCAGATTAGCCACAGTCAAACCAACCCAAGCAGGACCCAGTCAAACCACCCACAAATTGAAGTTGCCCCAAGCACAGACCATTGCATTAGGGTTCAGATGAGAGAATGAGGTACAATGGGATGTTCCAGATGAGGTTGAATAAGAGAAAGAGATCAAATGGGGTGTTTAAGATTTTGGTAGGCTTGATTTTTTTTTACCCCTGAGAAATTGATTGCTCTGCCACTTGGATGGTGGCTGTGCAAAATTAGCTGATCCCTATAATCCTACCCCAATCACATCTTGAAGCGGCGTGGAAGGTGAAGGAAGGGTAAAGGGTAGGTGATTTAAAAAAATGTAAAAAGAGGGATATTTTTGTAACTGTAACACATTTCCCCATCTATATTTTATCTCACACCAAACATAGACTTTTATAATCTTATCTAATTTGCCCAGTAATTTTTTTTTCAACCAAACAACTTTTTTTACATTTTCCTACCAAACTCAATTTTCAACCATTTCCCTATCAATTACATTTTTTTAGTATTCAAAAAATTTATCCTCAACCAAACACCCTCTAAAGGAATACTGAGTTTGAAATCACACTATTTCATTAAATTAAAACTCAAATTTGTATTCATGGTCTTGATTATATTAGTCTACAATAGGTATAAAAGTAATGAATCATAATATCCGTTGTTGACAAATAGATGAATGTATCCGCGAAGATCTTTCCCTTGTAAGGCTGTAACAAGTAAGATAAACATGCTTCTTTTTTCTATCCTTGTAGTCTAGCGGAGTCAGTAAATTTTTTGAAGGGGTAAAATTATAATCTAAAATTTTCTTTTAGAGTTGTAATAATTTATATGACAAAAAAAATTATTTAAAAAAATGCTTATAAATAAAGGCTTCGGTAGATTTTGAAGGGAGCGAATATTGAAATATGATTAATAAATTAGAAATAATACTTAATTCTAAAAATTTATATAAATTTAAAGCAGCCTGTCGCAAGGTATCTAATCTTTACACCGCACGGTCCGCACCCCTACTTAGGAGGATAAACTCGAATATAAAATATGCCTCGTAGCTCTCTTTTTTCTGCACCCAAGGATCTAAACAATTGCTGTAAAAGTTGGACCGCTAGAATAAATTTTCATCCTTCCTCTTATTTCTCTTTCTTTTTTAACTTAATTTTCTTTGTATCTTTTAAATTTGTAAAGATTAGATACCAGAGCTTACAGGTTGACCTATTTCAAGCCAAACTTAATCTCATCCAAATAATAAAATAGAGTATTTTTGGGTTAGAAAAAAATAATATTTAGCAAGCAGGCCATAATCCTATTTTAAAAATTCTGACCTATAAATCTTAAGGTATATTTATTAAGTATTTCAAAAAATAAAATAAAATTATAGCTATTTCTTTTACATGACACCCTTTCGAAATAATTCTTATTGTTGTTTTTTTTTTCCTTGTCCTTACTTATCTCATATATTTATAGATGGTTTTATAAATTTTAATTTTGGATACGATCTTATTACGATGTCACTTGTAAGTTGTAACCAATGGCGGACCTGCACTATTGTCCATGTGGGCAAATGAGACACTAACTTGCAAAAGTAACTATTTTTTTTATTAAAAAATTGATTTATTTTGCTTCTGGAGTTGCCAACTTATAAGCAACCAAATGTGTTCGGTCTCTCAATTACTTATAACCTGTATGTTTGAATAATAGATATGTTATACTACGTTCTTGAAATTAGTATCGTTGTGCTTATATTTGTGCTAGTGTGCTTATATTAGTTTAGATTTATTAAGTTGTTACTTTATCTTGTCTTAATAGTTGGTGTTGTGGTCATGTACCCAAAAGTCACAATTTTAATTATTATATCTAACCTTTTGCAAATGCAAGATAAGGCTATTTATCGTATATCCTTTCATGGATCCTGTGCATAGCGAGAGCTTTTAAAAAAAAATTCAGGGGCAGCAACCCTCACCACTAAATGTGCAAACATAAATACAACTTCCTGAGTCCGCCACTAGTTGTAACTATAGGTTCTGCTTAAGGTTGAATATTCAAATTTGCATAGATGATTTATCTTTTCTTAACTTTAGAAGTAATTTAAAAAGATTAATTGGTAATCATAAGAATATTCAAATTTTCATAATTTTAATCAGTGTTTTAAGAATCGGCTCGGATCGACCGGGTCGATTCAAGTCTCAGTAACCTGATGGGTTCCCCGGTCCGAGTGGTCATTGGGACCAGTTCTGCAGTTAACCCAGTTTGAACCGGTTGACCTGGTCGAGACCCAACGACTCGGTGACCCGATTGACCCTGGTTAGACCGGTTGACCCTCTTTTTTTTGGTAATTTTTTTTTTGGTTGATGAAAACTCTTGAATTAAATCATTTTTATAGTTTGAGGTAAATATGATTAATAAGTAAGGTGCAAATAAGAAGATATTTTGGATTAGTGCAATTCGTTTATGTAATTTAGTTGCATCTTATAATGATCTTAAGAAGTTAAGTGGGGATAAACACTAATGGTCTCATCTCAATGGTGAAACTTTCTCCTTCGTGTATATTTCATACCTACTATTTGCTATCATGATTTAATTTATCCGTGTTATGTCAAGGCACAAAAGGTACATTTAGCTTACATTGCAATTTTAATCCAATATTAGGATATGGTCTAGAGCTAGAAGCTTAGAAGTATATAATATTTGCTATCATTGAGAACCAATTTATTTTTTGAAGCTCATTGATAGTTTTCTTATGTGAATTTTTAATATAAGTAATATGTTTATATTTTTTTTAATATGTGAACAGTAAATCCGATTGAACCCGGTTGAACATCGACCAAGTCGATGACCGGTCCGAGTTTTAAAACACTAGTTTTAATCATCATTGTGTCTCTTTTACCTTCTAACGTATTAGAATCTCGGTGTCTCGGGTTCGATCCTCACCACCTATTTTCTTTGTGAAATTTCTTAGCACAGATAACTGAGCATGATGCATCATCCACCTTTTAAACTCAATCGGCTCTAGTGTATCAGAAATATATAAAACCATTAATGTAGTCTCATTCAACAGCTTAAACTTTTGGATTGAACTGATTCTTTACTATTACCAATACATATGTGGAAATCACATCCAAGACAAAACAAGCAATAAAAATATAAGGAAAAAAATATTTCTACGGTCACTTTAGATAAAGTTATCTAGAAATACATAATTATAACATTAAAGTTACTTTTTTTTCTCTCTCTTTCCACATTAACAAACAGGTTCTGAAAAGTGAGAAAAAAATAAATTATAACTATGTATTCCCTACCTTATCTAAAGTGGATGTTGAAATATTTACCCCAAAAGTATAATGCTTTTTGTTTTGTTGTTATAAATTCAGAAAGTTGATAATTATTTAGCATTGTAACAACTCATAAGAGATATGATTGTTAAAATAGCATCCACTGCTTTCGCGTCCTATTGCAAGTGGTTACATTCTAGTTTTGGACCCTTTTCTTATCTAATCTTTGTAAAAGCAGATACCTCCTCAGCTGTTCGATTCAGAGGGATGTTGAACTACTCACAAACTGCATTGATTTTTCCACAAAGAACCAAAACATGTAAAACAAAAGGAAGTCCCATTTTCCATTTTCCATAAGAAAATACATTAACTCTGAACATTTATACATAGTAAAGATCTTTTCCATCTCTAGCCAGTATTTCACAGACATTTATATGTACATCAACTCAAACTCAGCAAAATAAGCACGTAAAGACACCTGTTCATAGTGAAACATGAAAAGAAAGACAAAATTAGTTCCCACCAATCCCACTAAAACTCCTAGTAGATTAGTTCACCCTACTTATGCTGAGGAAATCAGAGACTACCAACCTTCGCTTCATTCCAAGGTCATAATCAAAATGCCCATTTGCTGAAAGATGGTCACCGTCTCTTGCTCACTCAAGAAGAAGTGACTAAACCTCAATCCTCAGACACAATCCAAGACTCGCTGTGGTGGTGCTAATTCAGCAGTTCTCATGAAAATTAAGGGATCTAGACCAAGCTGCAGGGTTAGCCCGCAACAATGGGGAGGTTTCAACATGATTCTTTTCGTCCTTCTTTGATTGAAAGGCATTAAACATGCCTCCCCCACTCACATATTCATTCTTAATTCCTAGAGTTGACCATATAGAACTCTTTGCAGCTTCACTCGGGTCATCAATTCTTAAAGTCTTGGGGACCAAAACACACCCGTTTCTATGTCTTGATGGTTCTTCATTGCGCAAATGGTCTTGTTTAACCATGTCATCATCCCTGGAGTGTTTTCCAAGAGTAGGAGAATTTGCACCTGAGCTTGGAGAGCTTGGGTTTGGAACAGATGCATCATGAGAGGGAAACCATGGAGTATTCCAATTCCCTGGTACACCATAGTTCCAAAAAGCCGCCGCAGGATAGAATGACATGGGGGGAAATCCTTGAGGACACAAAGCATGTGAAGGAACTGGAGAGTTCCAAGGATAAGGCCAAGGAACACTGGAAAAGCATGGAACTTGAGGAATGAAACCATTGTTTCTTAATAATGATTCTTGGGAAGTGCTTTTCCCACTTTCCTCCATGGAATTTGAAACAGTAATGGAAGACCCACTTGAGCAGTCATCACCATTTTCCTCACTTTTGCAAGGAACAGCAATTCTTTGATCCTCAATGTTATGAAACCCATTTCTTGTGCCATTAAGAACCTTTTTCTCCGCAAGGTTCAAGAGGGATGCCATGGAATCACAAATCGGTGGGTCTAATCCAAAGCTAAGGACTCTACCATTGGTTTTTAAAGTGGGAAGATGAGTTCCATTAGTAGCATCAATTCTAGCTCCCTGAAGAGCCTCAGAGATGGTGATATGGCGATAATGGGTGGAAGAATTCTTGTTCTTTCTTCTCCCTGCACCCACTGGCACATTCCGCATGGTACCACCAGCAGTCCAGTATCTTTGACACGCTTTGCAGAAATAACGTGGCTGATTGATGTTGTAATTGTTGTAGTAACAGAATTTAGTGTCCATGCTATTGCAGCGTGGACATGGAAGTATTTTATCTGGCTTCTTCAGTGTTTTCTCTTGTGAGTTGTTGGTTGCATCACTTTGCTCGTTCTCTGATTTGCCATCTTGTGATTTTGCAGTTTCTTCTTCTATTGAAGGTGTCTTTGGGTTCTGAATACCCTCAGGCAGTAATGTTCCGGAATTCTTCTTAGTCTCTGCAGCATTTGGAGGAGGATCAGCATCTTTCTTTTTCTTAGTAACTTCTTCTTCAGCTCGAGAATCCTAGAAATTTGACACAATGTTTTCTTAATTAATGAGACCTAAGTATACATTCCAAAATGGCATTATAACACCAACAACAAGATCAAGAAGGTTGAAGAAAATCAAAAACATTATGCTCTACCTTTTTTAAGATAAAAAATAGAAAAAACTGATCATTTATGCTTGAATCTATGTGCAGGGTGCATATATTTTCTATTGGTACAAAGAAAGCTATGTAACAATACGAGCAAGTCCATTTGAAAATAAAAAAGGGTTAAGGAAATTTTTGATTCAGGAACTCAAGGAGCTACGTTGATAATTTAGCTGTGAGCTGAATACTCGAAGCATAAAATATATTTCTTACAAAGCTAATAAAAGGTATAAAAATGAAAATGAGATCTTTAGAGTCATATGGTAGATTATGAACAGAAAGATTTGGGTAGAAGTAGGACTGTGCTGACAGAAAACACTGCTCTTTAAGCAGGACCAGTTAGTTTATTTAAACTAAATATTAATTGATGTAAAAATAAACACCCAGCTTCCTAAGGTATATTTGAGTGAAATTATTCAGTATATGGTTTTAATCAGTACTAAAAAGAAACACTTCACTTCCACTTCTAAACAAGGTAAGAAGTTCACAAAATCTAAAATTAGCCAGTTTTGCAACTTAATGCAAAAAACTTGATTTTTTTATTTATTTTTTCAGTCAACTCTGCTTCGAATGCTCTGTTTCTTTGGCTCCAGATTCCAGACACAAAAAACTGAAAAAGAAGCAACCCCCGACAAAATATAATCCTAAATTTTGCAATTGGAAAACAAAGGAAATACTAGTTTTCAAAAGTTAAAATAAAAAGTGTACATAGGCGTTTTGCATACCGAAAACAACTTGAACAATATAAACAAAATTGGAAAAACTCAAGTAAAAACGTAAAAAAAGAAAAGATTTTCAAAAAAAGGGAAGATTTAGCACAAGGAGGCAAAACCATAATATGCAATAAAAGGAAAAATGAAAATAAGAAAAGAAGGTAAAACCGACCCATTAGTTGTTTTAGCATGTATTCAACCTACGTATCACAAAAAACGCTCCCTTTTTTTTCCTTAATCATATTACCAACGTTACCTTGTCTCCATGGTCTTTCTCATCTTCATGTTCTGACTCATCAACGTCTCTGTCTTCTTCTTCCTCTTTGTCGACATCCATCGCCGCCGGCAAGGCCTTGTCGTCGCCGGCAATGACAGGAGCCTCAGGTTCCCCAGGAAAGGGAATCTTCTGGCCGAAGAGCTTAATTGCAGGGTCCTTAGTTTCCAGCATTTTCTGGAGATCCAAACAGAAACAACACACAACAGGGGTTAATGAAACTGAAAAGGCGCGAGAAGGTTAAGGTTAAGGTTCCGGTTGCAGTTGAAGCAGGTTGGTTCGTTACTTCAAACGTATTTAAGTGTTCTGTTTTTTTGGGGTTCGGGTTTTGATCGTAAGTTACATTGGAGACATGACGATTTGGATTTTGATCCGTTTAAACCAGTGCCGGGTGCCACATCATCATGGGGTTTTGATTCTTGGCCACAAGTTTTTGTGGCCTGTAATAGATTTTCTTTTCAAACCTTTGATTCTATTCGTTGCACACTCTTTCTATGCACCCAACTTTGTCGCCATGTCACAATTTATAAGAATTAAATATATAATCTAATATAATTAAGGTGAATTTAGTGTTTTGGATCACCATTTATTCAATGATCCGGACCAATTAAAATTGAATATTTTTTTATCATAAGTACAATGGAAAAAGAAAAAAAAAAAATTTGAAGTGTCAATTTTTTAGTAAAAAAACTATATGATCCTGATTTACTTAAAAAAAATCCTAATACAATATATCCAAATCACTTATCACTAAATTAATATTACTGGCTGGCTTCACATGTTTGCTTTCAACTTCATCAAGGGCACACCGGAATTTTTGCTAACGTGGCGAAATTTAATTGGTGACGTTGTTGATAATTTTTGTCGAACCAAACAAAGCTCCATGGACGGCTTTCAGCTTATCAGAAAAATTAAATGGTAAAATAACACTAAAAGTAATAAAAAAAAGTTTAAAAGGAAAAGTGCTTCCCAGCTGTCTCTTTTTAAATCCTCTTCTTTTCATTTTATGTTTTTTTTTTTTTTTTTTTGTAATAACATTTTATGTTTTTTAGTATCTTAACTAATATTTAAAGGAATAAGAATAAGAGATTACCAAAAAAAAAAAAAAGGAATAAGAATAAGAAAATAGTAGCATATTGTGCATCTGTGCGTGTGGTAATAAGCTTATTCAATAGGAGTAGTTAAACAGGGTTGGCGGTTACGAGGGAGCAAAGAAAAGTTGAGTTTAGGCCGTTAAGTTGTCACTCTGTTATGGAGGAATCGTAATTTTGTTCAATAATATTGAAAGAAGCGTTACCAAATTTTGTATCGTTCATTATTTTGCATGAAAACAAAGAGATTTTTTTTTTATAAACTGACATTAATTTTCTCATTTTGAAGCTAATTGCTCTGGATATCCAGCAAATTTCAATTTTTTAAATCATATATTGAAATGAAACTAATTCTAAATTAAAATTTAGTTATAATTAAAAAATTTCATTCATTTACCGAATTTTTTTCCTTTTTTTTCATTCTTTCTCATAAACATATGAGGTGAGAATCGAATTCAAATTCTCTCTTCACCTATTTAAACTGTGTTGCTAATTGAGTAACACTAATTTTATAAAACAAAAAAATTATTGTAATAATTCATTCAAAAGAAAAGAAAAGAATATACTATGTCTTTTTGTTTAACACCACACTTTATTTGCCCATGCCTAGAACTCTCTTTAATTAATTAATTAATAAAAGTACGGTATACCATCACTTACTTACCTATTACTTTTTAATCTGAATTTTATATAATTAAAAGGATGACGTCACCAACACAGAATAAGTATCCAAGCCCGCTAAATTTAAATCTAATATTTGCTTTCTAAAAGAATTGGAATTATTTTAACTAATTTATACCTGGCAACCCAGTTGTTATATATTATTAAAATTGCTCATTGTATGTCTACCAAAAAAAAAAAATTGCTCATTGTACAGTTTTTTGGGTTTTACATAAAAAGTATTAGAGCAAGCCTAACTCTCTCCGTTGTGGTTCCGGACAAAATATGGTTCGGCCACCTCCAATGCTCGTATCTATGGGACCACATTCAAATTTGATGTCATAAAACATATTATTAGGATCCACCTCTTTATTCTCTTAAAACGAGGAAAGTAGGAAAAGTATTGTATTGTTATTTGTAAAATTACAAATTTTACCGCCAAATATATCAAATATGTGGATCGATTTATAAGAATTTATCTCAGTTTAACCAATGGTCTGAGTTTGAGCTCCTGAAAATACAGTTATGTTAAAATTTGATAAAGTGAATTTTGTTGTTTATGTAATCCTACCTGGCTTGAATTGGACAAATCGAGTAATTGATGAACTATGGATAATAGAAACAAAATATTTCAAACTTTAGGTCAAATGTTAGATGTTGATGAGAGTGCAGACTTATATGATGTTAGAATATTTTTTTTTTCAAGTGACAAAAAAAGTAGGAATGTTACTGGGTCACTCAGCCTATCAAGAGCCCATGGCTCAGCCTACATCAGACTAGACTTGGTCTATTACATCTAATAACAAAGAATATGTTCAAACCTTTAAAAAAGCATATTTAGAAGGGGAAAATTCACCAGTACCCTTGTGATTTGCTTTAGAATCACTTATGTCCCTGTAATTTTTTGTTTAATCACATACACCCCTGTGATTTGTAAAAAGTAAAAAACAACAGGGGCATATGTGATAAAAAATATACCCTTTTGCAAAATAACACACGGACATATGTGATAAAAAAAACTACAGGAGCATAGATGATTCTAGAGTAAACCACAGGGGCAATGGTGAACTTTTTCCTATTTAGAAATTAGGTCATAGGCTTTCTTTTACAAGGCCCGACCTATATTCCTACATTCTAGCCTATATCATATTATTTATTTTAAATAAAATAATAAAATTATTACTTAAATAATTTGAATAATAAAGCAATATTATTTTAATTATTTTTTTAATTCTTGAATACCTGATATGCTTAAACAGGTTACTAGGTCTGGGCCATGTCTTTTGTTTTTAAAATATAAATCATGTCAAACTTATAATTTGACCTACATCAAACTAACAAACCAAACCAGACTTAACATATTTTACACAATCCTAATATATTTAAGCCAAAAATTGACTCGGCCCAGTACATTTACATCCCTAATTGAAAGATTTCAATATTCATTATATTTGAGATAAAGATAATATTTAGCTCTAGAGGAGCTATTTGAATATATTGTGTTATGAAAGGCAGGTCCAAACTAACCGGTCACATAAGGATTGTCCTCACTCTCGATAATAGGGAGTGAGCATCTATGATGCACGGACACAGACACGGGACACGGGACACGACACGACACGCCGACACGTTAATTTTAAAAAATGTCATATTTGGACCCGTTGGGACACGTTTTGATATTAAATAAAAATTTTAATATATATAATATGATTTATATTTAATACATATAAGAGTCCATAATAAGTCATATAATCAATTAAATATTTAAATTTCATAACATAAATATAAATATAAATAATTTTTCGTAGTTTGTTAATTTTTAATGTCAAATTTTATAACGGAAAAAAATTAATTTATAAATTATTTCTTTTATATTTAGTTAACAAAATAAAATTAAGATTTAAAAAAAATAAAAAATAAATAAAAAAACGTGTCCCTAAATGTTGACCGCGTGTCCCCAAATATTGACTGCGTGTCGGAACGTGTCGGAGAGTTGACCGCGTGTCCCCAAATGTTGACCGCGTGTCGGACGCGTGTCCGAGCGTGTCGGAGCGTGTCCGTGTCGGACACGTGTCCGACATGTAAATTTGAAAAAAATTGGCGTGTCCGTGTAACGCAGGTGAGCATCAGTCAAGAGTTAGATTAAGCTCTTATACTACCAGCCTTCTTCAATTTGTGTATTGGAACATAATTTTCACCTTTCAACATTAATCTTCTATATCCCATATTTCCATTTCAAAATTATGAAGAATGTAGTTTAGTTGAGAATAAAGTACTCCCTACACGTAAACTTATCATAAGATAATAGAATATAATGTGTTCTATTATATTCTTGATGCAATTTAAAAGTAGAATATGTATCCAAACAAAAAAAAGTAGAATAAAATGGGACATAACATTAAAAAAGCAATACAGCTTGATTCTATTAATAGGAGTGAAATTAAAGGAAACAGTATAAAATCACTCTACAAATTTTTTATTTTTTATTTTTTTTTTGACAAATATACCCCCTATGGTTTCATATCCGTGTTTCGCTTTCACATGCAAGAACCCTCTTGCCTCTCTTTGTCACCATCTTTAGCTAGCGAAGCAATCACTCAATCATCACAAATTCCTTATTAACAGGATTGCATCTTCAAGTACGCTATTTATTTTTTAATCTCTAATCTTTCTGTCTACACCAATATTTTCAAAATCGAGTTTCTACATAGAAATAAATAATAAAAACGTAAATCATAGAAATAAGACTAAACATAAAGTTTCTATTACTTAAGGTCAAGATACAAAATTATATATATATATATATATATATATATATATATATGGATTTTATAAAAGTTATGTTGTAGGAAAAGTGATTGTGTTATGTTCTAGAGATTCGTTTTCCGTGCCGTAGTTTTTTTTTTGCTTTAAAAAATGCGGGCCCACAAAATGTTGTGTGTGTAGGAAACTTTTTGTTGTCATGTTGCATGATGAATGCAAATCCCTATATATATATATATATATATATATATATATATATCACTACTCAAAATTTAATGAACAACTTCATATTTAAAAGATATAAGACATAATTATATAAGACATAAGTTCAAAAACACAAAAAAAAGTTTAACAACTCTTACAACTAAGTTTAAATTTCATCTACATTAATGTCCTCCTCATTTGATTCATCATTCTCTTGTTCCTTTGAGGTGGTGGACTTGAGAGCAACACTTTTAACCTTCTTCTTGGTTTGATCCCTTAACGCATGTCTCTTCATCTCAAACTCATATTCTTAAATCTTTTCAAAGAGAGTAGCAATTTGCATGGTGTCTAAATCCTTGGACTCATAGATGTAAGAAGATTTGTATCCTTCCAATACAGATAGTCTGTTCCATTAAATTATGGTGGCCTATTGATTGAACCACCTCTTGAGGCAATTCATTGTTTAAAACTAGCCATTTTATGAATCTTTATCTCTAGGTGATTAAACCTATAATTAGAGAACCTAAGCTTTGAGACCAATTGTAAAGAAAAGAGGGGGAGTGAATTGTGTGTTACTTACAATGTAAGAGACAAAGAAAACAAAGCCTTT